ATATTTTCTAAAGATTCTGGTTAAATAGTTTGAAATTTTGGTGAAAATTTGCAGAATTTTTATAATTTTTGTACAAACTTGAAAATGTAAATTTATATGGTGTTTGTTGTATTACCAGCTAGGCTTTTACAAAAAAATACGAAACATTAAATAAACTAAAGACAAATAGCCAAAACAGGTTAAAATATCCCACTCCTATTATTTTGTGATCAACTGTACGTACATACATACATGTGTATATGTAAATTCAAAACTTTGAATTAAATTAGCGTTATGGTAATTTTTTGACTTTCATAAATCCAGAAAAAATTATCGAACGTTCGTCATAATGCTTATTGAGTAATTCTTTAACATTTTTCAATGTGATTGAAAGAACGAAATTTGTATGCAATGAAAAAAAATATATACTTAAAAGGTTTTTGAGACGTCGATCCCTTTTGGTATTCGCGATACTTACTCGGTACTTGTGAAAAAGTATCGAGCTCTCGATACTACTCAGTACTTATGAAAAATATCGATATTCTGTACTCGGTACTCGTATCGTTCTATCACTACTCCTGGATTGCCTACTCAGTCCAAAGTAGCACTTGTTGGCAAGAGTGATTCTGCGTTGGATTTCCATGCTGACATTATTATCGGTGTTAATGCTGGTTCCCAAGTAAACGAAATTCTGTACTTTCTGGAAATTATAACTTGTCAGCAGTGACGTGGATGCCAAGGCGCGAATGTGCTGACTGTTTGTTTGATGACAGGATATACTTCGTCTTGTCCTCGTTTACCACCAGNTAACTCTCTGGTAAAAAGTTCGGGCATTCTTCCTGTAGGCCAGCATTTCAAGCTCTTCACACTCACGTATTTCGTCCTCTCTCTTCTTATTGCGGCAAATACGTCTCGCTTCCCTCTTCAGATCGATGTTTGGGCCTCGGAGTGTCCGTACGTCCAAAACACTGGAAGCATGCCTTCCGTCTATCACAGCATGATAGATTTGGTTTCTCGTTTTTCCATCCGGATACGGCCACTTAGCTCGATGAATCTTTTTATCTTGAACATAGTACTGCTACTTCCATGTTTTGGGCCCCGGCGAAGTCGATCAGCCTCTGTCCGTTGTCGGAATTTCGTCGTGTAGGCTGAATTTTCCGACGGTCGTTCCAAAGATCCCTTCCTTGCCCACCCTGGCATTGAAGTCGCCAAGCACGATTTTGATATCGTGGCGGGGCAGCGCTCGTACGTGCGCTCCAAGCGCTCACAGAAGAGATCATTGTATACCTCGTCCTTCTCTTCCGTCGGAGAATAGGCGCAGATGAGCGATATGTTGAAGAATCTTGCTTTGATGCGGATCATGGCTAGACGCTCGTCCACTGGGATGAACGACAGTACACAACAACAACACTACTTCGCGACGGTGTCTCTCTCCCACCACAAATCCAACACCGAATTTGCGCTCGGACGAATCTTGTCGCTAATGCGATGCTCCTTCTGGAAGGCGAAGCGCTCGTCAGAGGAAGATAAACCTTGTGAGAGTCGCGGCCAGAGGCTTCGTAATTTTACTATCTGCCTACTTATTTAGGGCAAATTTTTATTATGCGAGAAGTGTATTCGGAGAGCGGGTAAAAATACATACTAGAAACACAGTAGGGAATTGATTGCTTTAATACACACATGTAATTTTTAAGCAATAAACACAACCGACTACAATTCTCATATAAAAATTTAGGAGTACCGTTAATTTCTTCATGATCCAATGATCGGATGTAACCCATTATTACAAACAATTATCGAAAAAAAATCCTACGAACTGATAAGCTCCTCCTATTTTTTGGAAGTCCTATAAAAATATTGTTAAGTTATATATTCATGTTTTTGTTTATTTTTAGGTGAAGTACATTCATGTCGTAACTATTGCTTCCGTGCCTCGAAACCTGTGATACTAAAAATGATAGCCAATATATGCCTCAATATATACGAATTACTCAAAGACTTATTTGTCTCACTACCAAAGACTGATGAGCAATGGCAAAATGTGGCTAACGAGTTTCAACGCAAGCACTGCATGCCAAATTGTGCCGGTCATCTGGCTATGCAACAAATCAGATTCCATTCTTCATCACGTGCCGAGGAACAAATTGACTTTATTAACAAACAACCACTCATCTTCACATCTATTGTAGATAGTAATAATAATTTCCTGTATACTGATATTGAAAAGACTCAAGCGGGAGCTATCGATGAAATTTATGAAAAATCCACAATTAGACAGATGATTGAAACTTATGAAGTAAAACTGCCAGTTAGTTATGAAGCACAGGATGGCAGTATTGATCAATCCTATTATTTTGCAAGCAAATGTGGCCTGCCTCTGAAGCCCTATCTGCTGAGCGGAGCCGCTGATGTGCCAAATGACTCACGAGTTAATTACAATAATATCATGAATATGGTTAACAGACATACCGAAAACGCGTTACGTATGCTAGCCAACATATTTCCCATATTGTCGCAACCCTTGCGCATAGATGAGGAGAACGGACGTAAAATAATACTCGGTTGTGTGGCCTTGTATAACTTTCTGCGAAAGACAGACCGCACATTCTATAAACAAACTGAAAAGATCACATTGAAAAATGATTGGGTGGATGATGATTGCATATTGATTGCAAGTGAAGAGGAGCACGGTGATAGTGAGGAACTCTCACCAAAAGTTACACTGACCAGTTGTTTTCAAAACCTGCACACACAAAAGGGAGATTCACTAGAGGGCGCAGCTAAACGGGACTATGTTATAAAACGATTAAGCGAAGCATATGCAAAGCCACAATAAGCTGATGATACCTTAGAAACATTAAACATACTACTAATAATGTGTATGAGAGAATGCAAACTGCGACAAAATGTGATGCGACTGTAGAAAGAAAAAACGGCATGAGATTATTTCTGTAGCTTCTGTCTTAATTTAATATGCAGCTTCGTTGTTAGGAGTCAACTATGAATTACATGATATACATATACTAGTAGCTCGAATTTAAGTGTGTAATATACGAGAATATTGTAAAACGTGAATACGTGGAGCTGCAGCATATGTTACGTTTGTACATAGTTGCCATTTGAATGTATCTACCTTTATATTTATTATATAAGCAGGCACTTTTATTTTTAACAATTTCAAATAAAACAAAAAAAAGCGTTCGTTGAATTTCATGCGGTATTTAGTAGCAATACCTTTAATTTAGTTTTTTTTTCTTTCTTATATTGAATTTAATTTTTGCCAATAATGTAAGTATTCTTACTTTCTGAATTTTGCAATAAATCTGAGAGAATAAATATAAAACATTGGTAATAATTGGTATTGAAACGGATTTGTTTTATTTACAATTATTGTTAAAAATTAGTTTTTTATTATATAGTTGATCGTTGTTGTTGTTGTAGCGGCTACAACAACCCCGCCCAGATCGGTTGGTATCTCAGTCGTTGTTGTTGTTGTAGCAGCATACAAATTCCCCAAAGACTTTGTGGGGAGTATGCTGGAGTGACAGTCCTTGGCCAGATATAAATCTGGGTCGTTCCGGTTACGTAGACCCGACTGTCGTCCACTAACGGCAACCCTAGGAAGCGTGCAGCTTCTGTGGGATTTGTCCACAGGGACAAGGCCGTTAGGGTTGTCGGGTTTTCCGGGCATGCGAAGAGATGTTTCGAGTCATGTGGGGTCTCTCCGCATGCCGGACACTCATTCGGCACATCCTCATTCAACCTACTCAAGTAGGAGTTCAACCTGCTGCAGTAGCCGGAGCGAAGTTGTGCGAGTGTAGTGCGTGTCTCCCGAGGCAGATGAAGCTCTGTCTCGTCTATGTCCGGGGGTGGTATGCCTAGAACGGCATTCACAGGTCTAGAGTCTACATAACTCGAGACTGAGTCCCTGTGAATGCCG